TAGGGTTTTAATAATTGAACATTAATATTCTAAAAGGTGTTAGCTAATGTATGAATCAAGTGATTTTGGTGGTAAAACAGTTGTTATTATTCCTTGAGGTTACAGGTTCAAGTATTATGAATGTTAAGGGTGGAACCAGGAATTTATTAAGATGGGGTTTAAAATATTTTTATTTTTTATAAATAGGAACTTTTTAATTGAGGGGCCAAATAAATTTTTATTTATTTATCTTTTAAAAATATTTTTCCAACATTAATTAAAAATTAAAAATTGGCGGGGGCACCAATGGTCAGGTTGTAAGTGTTTAACGTCAAATGTTTGATAGTTTTATTTGAACATATATTACCTTATACTTACCTTATATTAATAAAAAAGAAATAGATGGTTGAAAGTTATCTTTAACTTTATTATTTTGTAAGCATTTTAACCCTATCATTTCGTTTCGAGGCAAAAAAACTCATTCGTATATGAAAATCGTTAATCAACAAATGTCAAATATTATAAAATAAAGATCTTTTTTCCCTAAAATAAAATGTTAATGACGAAACACTTCCAAAAAGAAAAAATAACTAAAATCACTATTTAATAAAAATAATACGAGTCTTTTTATCTTAAAATAAAACTTTGAATGTCAACATATTAAAAAATGTTAAAATAATTATTTAATCAAATATTAATGATATTTTTAATATTATATATAATAAATTAAGTATCATATTATACATAAATATTAAAATTAAATACCTCATTATACAAAAAATTAAAACACCACATTACACATTGTAATAAAATAAAGGGTAAAGTATGCAAATGGTTCTCTGATTATAAGATATTATTTTATTGAATTATCTTACTATTAAAAGTTACAAAATGATCCTCCGACTATAAGGCACTGCTTTGTTGAGTCCTCTTACTATTGAAAGTTACAAAATGATCATTTGACGATTCACATGTTCTAAACTCGTCATTATCCGTAAAAAAATGACGAATGTTTGAGATGTACATTAAACATGATAAAATTTGATCATATAATCATTTTAATTGTATTTTGTGGATCAAATATATGTTTATATTATTCGGTCGAGCTAGTACTTGAAATATTATGTTAGCGAGCCAATACTTGAGAGTAACGGTGATGCCAGTATATATCACTAAAATATAATTTTATTATATCTTAATCAACAGGTTAACGAGTAACTCAGACATACATCATTTTTTAATGAAAAATGACAATTTTAAACATTTAAATAGTTAGTTAACCATTTTATAACTTTTAATAATCGAAATCAATAAAATAATGTCTTGTAGTCCATGACTATTTATAATAACAACTATAATTAAAGATCATTTATTTTATCCTAAAATTAAGGGTAAAGTATAGTAATGGTCACTAAACATTTCTGAAACTTGCATTTAGGTCCCCCAACTTTTAAAACTTGCAATACAGTCCCCCAACATTTATTCCGTTTGAAATATGGTCCCCCAACTTAAATCACTGTTAGAAAATTAGGGTAAATTATATAAACGGTCATTGAACTTTTCAGGCATTTGAATTTAGGTCCCCAACTTTTAAAACTTGCAAAACAGTCCCCCAATAATTTTATTTTCTTATTAAATATAGATGTATAGAAAATATAAATGATTCAATTTATATTTAAATGTATGAATCATTTATATTTTTGATATATTTTATTTTTCTTGTATAAACTAGTATTTAAAATATGTTTATATTTTAATCAAAATATTTCAATATACGAATAAAAATATATTTTATATAAATGTATATTTATATTTAGATGTATAAATAAAAAAATATATTCATATATTAATGTATGAATCATTTATATTTTTTGAATATTTTATTTTTAATAAGAAATTAAAATTATTAATTATATTATAAATACTCAACTTAAGATTATATATATAATCATGAATTATAAATATGAAAAATATAATTATTAAATTTAGTTTAAAAATATATAAATCTTAAATTTATTCTTTTAAAATATTGTATCAACTAATATTTAAAAAATATATTAAATCTATCAAACAATTTATCAAATATAATATTTTTATTGTAAAACAATATAATATTTTCCCATCATTTATTGCTTTCAAATTTTTTGCCGAAGTTCAAATCTCATTATTTCCATTTTTCATTATATTCTTTTTTTCTGGCATTGGTCATATTATTAGTATATGTATTATTGTATATCTCTTAACACAAACGATGGTGTTAGCTTAATGGCTCCACCCTGTATCTTTCATCTGCGTGACTCAGGTTTGAGTTTGCCCAAGACCCAAATTTTACTTCTTTATAACTTAATTTTCTTCTAATTAGGTGGTGACATATGTCACCAATAACGTATATCATGATCATGTGTTAACACATGTCAGATCCTGGTTAAATGATTAATTTATTAAATTTTATTTAATTTAGGACCAAATTGATAGCATATATAAATATAATTAGGTGGTGACATGTGTCACCAATGACACGTGTCATGATCATATGCTAACACATGTCAGATCCTAATTAAATGATTAATTTATTAAATTCTATTTAATTTAGGACCAAATTGATTATATAAATAATAAAGACTAAATGTATAATAATGTCAATTCCTTTTAAATGCCACTTCATCATTTTGTATCAATTGGTAATGACTAGTGGCTTAGTTGAAACAGTTAAATTATTATGTTGTATGATTGATAAATTTAAAAGATCGATGACAAAAGTAAAAAGGGCTAGATAGTTAAGTTGTCAACCTAGTAGTTTACACTTTTATTTATACGTCAAAATAACATTTTATAAATTTAAAATTTGAATTATTTTAAACCTCTTCTATATCCTAACTACTTTTTTTAATTAAAAAATTTCTTCAACAGATAAAAATTATACTATTATATTTATATAAAAAAGACGTATCACATGAAATAAGATGAAATTAAATAATAATAAATCTGACATAATTGAATTTAATTGAATTATATTGGAATTTAGGGTTTAGAATGAAATTGAATTACTTTGGAAATTGGGGTTTAGAATGAAATTGAGGACTGTTTTGCAAGTTTTAAAAGTTGTGGGACCTAAATTCAAGTGTCTAAAAAGTTCAATAACCTTTTATATAATTTACCCTAATTTCTAACGGTGGTTTAAGTTGTGGGATCATATTGCAAACGGAATAAATGTTGGGGGACTGTATTGCAAGTTTTAAAAGTTAGGAGACCTAAATGCAAGCTTCAGAAATGTTCAGTGACCATTACTATACTTTAACCTAAAATTAATTAGAGAAGTTATCTTTCTGAACGACAATGCAAAGTGAAAAGTGGGACGGAGGGATCGTGAAGAATTATTTGTGGAGATATATAATGCCAGGTGGCGATGAATGATAGGGCGGATATTCAATGGGAAGCCAATCAATGACATCAATATAACGACGATGCATAGATCGGCGTGAAAGAATTTAAATATCCAAAATATTTTCCGATTATTTGTTTCGAAAGAAAGTTTAAAGCATTGTTAAATACTATTTTTTTAGTTAAAATTTATAATTTAAATAATTTGAATTATAAGTTTCTGTAAATATTATTTGCATTTATGAATATTTCAAAAATATATAAATCGACTCATATTAACAAAAGTTACAAAAATAGATTAAAAAACTTTAAAATAGAAAATAATATAAAAAGTTGAACCCTTTAAACTAGACATTTTTACTCAAATAATATTATTTTTAAAATTATTTAATAAAATAACACTTGAAAAAATATTTACAAAAATGATAGTATCTATTTTCAGATCAAGTCAACAATAATTCTAAAAGATAGATTTGATTAAATATACCTTTTAGTTATATGACACGACACACTAAATAAGAGAAATATGTATTTAATTCAAATTAATAGAAAAACATAACTAATGTGATGCACCTTCTTGTGATTTAAATTAATTGCATATAAAATAACAATTTATGCATTTATATTATTACCATACTGAATATATTAACTATACTATTCTTTATAACATATTGAGTCGCCTAAATAATTAAAGGCTTAAATATACAAAAGGTGTCAAACGTATGTCCGTTTTTTCAGTTTAATTTTTCGTTCCAGTTTGATGCTTAACGTTTGATTCCGTTACTCAAAATGGGTCACGCTGTGACGGACTGTTAGTTTTCTTCGTTAAGTGACACGTGTTACAATTTGGTAATTTTAAAATTTTATTTTTAAAAATAAATATAAAAAAATTTATTATATTTATATAAAAAAAACTTTTATTTCTTTTAAATTACAAAAAAAAAACCCAAATCCTAACACCGAAGGTTACCCACGGTGACGGACGGCGAGAACGACGATTACGATGTGACCAAGCAGTTGGGTTTTGAGCGGACGACGACGAGGAAACTAAATATGGTGGCGGTGAGGCGAACGGAGGTCCGAGGTGGCCGGAATCGTCCAAAATCTGAGGTATTGGGGGTGGGTTTTTGGCGAAACTTCAAGGGCTCTATTCCAACGAACGACGACAGCTATCCACGAATTGTTTTGGGGATTTGATCATGGCGGCGAGGCGCTTCGATTGGGCTGGGCGGTGATACGCACGGGCGAGCAATGGCGGCGATCGATATGGGTTTAGGGTCGAAATGAAGGTTTTCAAAGTTTTGAAGTTATTTCAAAATTAATGTGTTTTCTTTTTTTTTAAATATATAAATTTTAATTTTTAAAATTTTGGGGAAGAAATTTCAATCAAGTTGGAAGAAAACGATATTACATTTGGTTTCACCCCTTTACAATGGGATCACTAAAAACAAAACAAAAATAGTGTACCTTTTTCCTTAAAAGGTACTTTATAATTTGTATTATACCAAACTAGTCCTCCTATAAAATTAGCTTCCTCTATCGCAAAAAATAGTAAAAGTGCACAGTTTGTATCGATTGGTCAAATTTCAATATTTTTTTTATAGAAATATGAATTGTGCTAAAAAAAGTTTTTAAAACTCCAAGAATAAGAGTACATATAAATTGCTTAATTATTGATATTTTTTTTTGATGCAACGATAATATTTACCATTTACCAAATTCGATCACCGTCGTCGCTCGTTCGTGCGTATCACCGTCCAGCCCAATCAAAGCGGTTTGTCGCCATTATCAAATCTCCAAAACAATTTGTGGACAGTTGTCGTCGTTCACCGAAATAGAGCCCTTGAAGTTTCACCGAAAACTCACACCGATGCCTCGGATTTTGGATGATGCCGACCACCTTGGACCTCTGTTTGCCTCACCGCAACCATAGTTAGCTTCCTCGTCACCATTATCTCAAAAGCCCCAAAACAATTCGAGGATAGCCGTCGTCGTTCGTCGAAATCGATTCCTTGAAGTTTCGTCGAAAACCCAACCCGATGCCTCAGATTTTGGACGATTCCGACCGCCTCGGACCTTCGTTCGCCTCACCGCCACCATATATAGTTTCCTCGTCGCCATCTGCTCAAAACCCAACCAGTGGGTCACGTCGTAATTGTCGTTCTCGCAGTCCGCCACCGTGGGTAAGCTTCGGTGTTAGAACTTGGGGTTTTTTAATTTAAAATAAATAAGGTTTTTTTTAATAAATGTAAAAATATTTTTAATATTTATTTTTTAAAATAAAAATTTAAAATTACCAGATTGTGACACGTGTCAATTAAGGGAGAAAACTAACGGCCCATCACGACGTAACCCATTTTGTGTAACGGAATGAAACATTGGGCACCAAACTGGAACGAAAAAACGTTAGGCACTTAACTGAAAAAATGGGCATACGTTTGACACCTTTTATATATTTAAGCCATGATTAAAAGAAATGTTAATATTCATATAGTATTAAAGTTCAAGTAATTACGTTGCAAATTATATTTGTTGTCAATTATTAAAAGAGAAAATAACTTCAGTGACCGAAAATAACTTATAATATACGATTTTAACCAACTTTTTTTTTGGATTTGCGAAAATAACCAATAAATTCGCAACACGATCTCAAATTCGCAACACGAACTCTAATTTCGCAACTCAGTTTTGAAATTCACAACTCGAATTTCCTTTTCGCAACGCGAATTTGGAATTCGCAAAGCGCGTTTATTTTCGCAACGCGAATTTTATTTTCAAATTCGAAACACGAATATTAATTTTGTAACACAAATATAAACAGTATATCTCGTAAATCATAACTCATAACTTAAAACCCTAAATCATAACTCAGTCTCATCTCCATCTCTCACTCTCTACAGTGACATCCGTCCTCATCTCTGGCGACATCCGTCAACATATCCGGTGACCCCCCTCCATCTCCATCTCGCAGAGCCACCCTCTCACAACTATTCACAACCACAAATGGAAACTTTTGTATTATTATTAGATTTTGCATTTTTAAGTATTTTTATTTTGAAATTTTTGTATTATTATTAGATTTTGCATATTTAAATTGATGATAAATTTACTCTTAATTTCAATATATAGATTAACCATTTCACTTAGATTGATTAGTAAATTCATTCGGTTGCTGCCAATACTGCTAAACTGTTTAGTCTTTAACCCTGTGAAGTTAGTATTTGTCTTTTGGTTGAAGTAATGCAATTCATTCAAGTTTCAATTTGCAGAAGAATAGTTTGTTTATTCTTGAAAGTTAAATTCGCAACACGAAAATCGTAACTCGAAAATAAAATTCGTAACACGATTTTAGTTTTCTCGTTTCAAATTTCATGTTGCGAATTTCATTTTCGAGTTGTAATTTTCATGTTGCGAATTTAAGTTTCAAGAATAAACTACTCTTCTTCTGCAAATTGAAACTTGAATGAATTGCATTACTTCAACCAAAAAACAAAGACAAATACTAACTTCACAGTGTTGCGAATTTAAGTTTCAAGAATAAACTACTACTCTTCTAGAATGTTGTCCTTGAACCTGCACTAAACCTATATGTTGTCCTTTTAAATGTTTATACTTACTTCTGGAATGTTATTTGATGCATTTTGGGAACTATGATAAAATAATGACTTATGATAGAATAATGACTTGGGTGAATACCAGGCTAGTTTGAAACATATTTGGTTATATTTTTACTGTTTAATATAATGTCTGTTTATTGTGTATAATTTGTAGTTTTTTGGTATATTATATCTAACTTGGTATGTTTATTGTTTTTGTTAGGAATTTTTTCAGCTGCATTGACTTTAAGGAATAAATTAAGCCTAGCCACTACAATTGCGTCGACACTTACACCTGTCCAAAGAAATTTGTTTGAGAATACTTGTTTCGGGCCATGGCTAAAAGTACAACATCCAGGTGGAGATGTTATGTTGACTCATTTGTTTCTTCAGACCATAACTAACGATCTACCCGAGGGGATACAATGTGGTGATAAGGAGATATGGTTTCATTTTCCATCGGCGTATACTCATTTTGGGTGGGAGGAGTTTTGCTTAGTCACTGGTCTACGTTTCGGACGACACAATGAATTAGGTCCGTACACTAGTCATATCCCCCGCCCATCATGGTTATTTCGGGTTTTTCCTGAGCTAGCAAAGGTGAAGGCCACTTTACACGTCGACGATTTGAGAATATTACTTCTTAAAGATGGTTTTACTCGGATTGATGACCTTGATGTTGTCTGAGTATGCCTTTTGTCACTTTTGTATACCGATTTTTTAGCCAAAGAGGGCAGACAACATATTTCTCAGGATTTAATATTATTGGTAGAGGAACTAGATGCATGTAACGTGTTTCTGTGGGGGTTCATATCTATGGAAATCTACCTGGAAAAAATTGTCGTATTCCTTTGAGGACCGTCGTAGTTTGCGTGGGCATGGTTCCAAATACACTTTGTCAGGCTTTATTTGGGCTTTTAAGGTAAAAATTTCTATATAATGTTTCCAAAATTAATTATTTAACAATTACTAAAATTAATGTTTGTGTATTATATTGTTTGTAGATTTGGATATTTGAGGCATTTCCAGTATGCGTACTTATGCCATCAAAAATTCAAATGGTATTCCTATAGCTATTACTTGGAGGAGGATCCGGCCGTTGGACTGAGAAGATTTACTACCATATACGACGATGAATAATGTAAGTTAACATAAATACTACCATATATAAACAAGTTATTACTTGTAGACGTTTGACTTTGTTTGGGCTTTTATATTTTTAAGAGGTAAACTATCCATTACAAACGCTGACACCCACAAAGGCTGAGCTTGCCACTAATTGGTGGCAAGCTAGTAGGCATTTTTTTTATGGGATGGGTGATGAGCACCCCCCACTCCGACACCGAGAGCCATCACCTTATCGAGCCTCTTCTCCACTTCGACACCGAGAGCAATCACCTCATCAAGCCTCTTCTCCACTTCAACACCGAGAGTCATCACCTGATTGAGCCAATTCTACACCTCGACACCGAGAGCCATCACCTATTCCATCACATCATCGAGCCTCTTCTCTACCATCACCTCATGATAGGCGGTCGGCAAAAATGCCACGATATTTATCTCCCCGTTCTCCACCTCCACGGGATGAGTTAGGGGAGTTACGTGATGAGGTCAATGCTTTACGTAATGAGGTCGGTGCTTTACGTGATGATAATTGTGCATGGTGTGATGAGGTAGGGTCGTTACGTGGTGAGGTAGCTGTTTTTACATGATGACAATGGTGCTTTACGTGGTGAGATATCTACTTTATGTGATGGGGTATCTGCTCTGTGTGAGATTGTTTCATTGTTGCAGAACGAGGTTCATACTTTACGCAATGAGGTAATTTTGTTTACTTTTATAAGAAACATTATACTAAAAATGCAAATAACATTTTTTTCGGCATTATTTATTTATTTATTTACTGATTTATGTATTAATTTATTTTTAGCGGCCCAATAAGGTAGATGCTTTACGTCGAGTTTTTCTTGCACGAAGGGATTCACGTATCAGATGTCGTGGACGTGCCATTACGCCTCCTTTCACCCCAATAGTTCCAAGACTGTGTAAGAAGAAGCCCGATCCACCTACCATTGTTCAGGATCCACCTCCCATTGTTCAGGATTCACCTGTCATTGTTCAAGAGGCCCCTCCTATCGTTCAGAATCCACCTCCCACCGTTCAGGATCCACATGGCATACTATGTTGACATATTGGTAAACCCTCTCTTGTACCTGATATGATGGATCAGAGTTGGCTTTTGTATCAGTTACCGACCAGTATCATTCCTCAGTACGAGATATGCACACTACTAGACACAATTATGAATAATATCGTTTGGGATAAGACCGCAGTTGATTTTTATCTACATGAGCGGAGCCAGGGTTGCTACACTGACATATGCAAAATTGACGATACACATTTGTTTCTTGAGCGGTCTTGGTGGGGTGTTTTATTAGGGGTTGAAGAGAATGACTATTTCGAATGGGGGTAAGTATTATATTCTTTTTATATTGATTTTGATTTTTTTAAATTCACTAATATATGTATTTTTTTATAAAACAACATATTTGATGCATGAGCGTCACGTCTTCTGGTTATAAGGAAATTGAAGAAAATCAAAAAGACGCGATGGACTATTATGCCTTCGTCTTTTCACGCAGCTCACTTGCAGGATCAGAGAGACGCTTCATATGCGTTGGGTAATGGCAAAGCTATCATTTATCCTGCGTGGTGGGAGGTCGATAAGGTTAGTATTTATTTTTGCATATTTAAAGGTGTTCATAAAATTTATTTGATGTGCGCAACGTTGAAGTATTATTATATTATATTGCAGGTGTTTATCCTTGTTATGGAACGTCGTCATTGGATTCTCGTCGAGCTTCAGCTCTCATCCCTGAAGACGATAATATATAACAACATGTTGAATTACATACCATTGTCTGAGTTGAAAGATATTATTTGTAGAGGATAGAGCGATCATTTGGCTAAATACTTGGATGTGATTGCTTATTGGACTAATTCAATAAACAAGAAGTCAAATAAGTTAAAAGTTACAATGATGAGAGACAAGACAGTGCCACAACAAACATCGAGAGCCAGAGGGGATTATGGTCCTCTTGTATGCATGTGCTTGAAACTTATGACGAGAAGAGGTAAACAGTTTCTACCTCCGACAGATAGAGATAGAGGTGCAGTAGGGTTGTGGTTTCGACATTATATGGCTAGAGAGATATATGCGAGACGTTGCCTACCTGCATCTGGGTGTTGAAAGTGTGCATAAACAACCACCATTTGTTATTGGTAAGTTTGAGCAAGGGTTGTCTGTAAGATCCCTATTGTTAGGAGCATTTGGATGTACAGTCTGGGGCAAATTGAGTGTAAATAAAAATTGTTTTTTTATTTAATTAATTTGTTGTTTAATTTCAATATGCTATTTTGAAGGCAAAAAATTCATATTGAAGGCACACTACCTTTAAGAAAATCAAATTCGCAACGCGAAAATGAAATTCGCGTAGTGATTTTCATGTTGCGAATTTGAGTTGCGAATCGGAGAAGTTCACAATAACCATATGTTTTTTCTAGTTTCAATTCAAGGCAAACACATTAAAAAAGATAACAGACAACAATCTGATAAGTGATAACAACTGAACAGATCATAACAATGTTCAAACTCAAGTTACTAATGCATGCCTAACTGAAAATGTATGCATTCACACATAAAATACACATAATACAACGTTTGCATTTAAAAATCACCTAAGTTAATAGTCCCAAAAGGTGAAAGCTGTTGTGATTGGGATTTTGATTGTGATTTTGATTGCGATTTTGATTTCCTTTTGCTTGGCACCATATGAGCTTTGGATTTTGATGAGATCCATATTTTGGTAGAGGAAAAGATGATTGTGATGGCACTGGTGATCCACAGGTCAACATTGTATGACCACTTTCCTTGCACCGACTACATGTCGATATCTTCTTCTATTCACCCTTATACAGTATACGATCGTGATTTTTTGGTCGGCCAGGTAGCATTCTGTCCATGACTGGTGGCAAAATTGTTTGTAAGTCATCTGGTATGTCCCACTCAGAAGGATGTGGAATAGGGTAGACAATCTTGATATAAGTCTGTCGATATACTTCTGTAGTGTAACAATTCATAGCGTATGCGCTTGAATCATCTTGGTTTAGATGAAGAGCAACTTTTATAACATGGTCACACGGATAACCAGATGTTTGCCATTTCATACAACTACACGTCTTTGTATTTAGATCGACAAGCCCATTTAAGTTATTATCAAAGACTTCAAACAAAGTGTTTGAACATGGTTCAACTCTCTATGACGTTGACTTTACAACACATTTTGTTATCTTTTTTTTTCAGTCCATGGTGTAACACGACGTTCCAATGTTCCTGTAAATTTAAATAAATAATACTTAGTAAAATCCATTAAATATGATAAGTTATGAATTTAAAGAAATAATACATGCATGGTTTCTTTTCTTGTAGTACCACTGTTGAATAGAGGCTCGAAAAAAACTCCATTAACATAGTAATGGGTAATTTTTGGGAATGACGACTTAGAGCGTTGATTGATTCTGCACTATTAGACGACATGAAACCATATCTTTCTCTAAGTTGATGTACTCTTGACCATCTTTCAAACCCAACATCTTCTAGTGTTTGAGCACATTGAGGCAAAACACGTCTTAAACAATTTATATGCTTATTAAAATCCACTTCCCGATAAGTTTTTACAACCTTCCAGTATGTCCATTTGTGATTTTTTATACCAACAGACCTTGATTTTAGATTTATGTACAAATGAACACCACAAAGTCCATGAAAAGCATATGGGAAACACCTTCTAATAGCGTTGTCAATTGAGTTTGCCCTATCGGATATGATTGTTAGATTGCTAATAGGACCTATACAATCCCTAAGATGCCCCATAAACCATCTCTATAAATCAAAGGTTTCAGATTTGCCAACCCCGTAAGCTATTGGCAGTATCTCATTGTTAGCATCCATGGCTACTGCTAATAAGTTTACTCCAAGGTATCAACCTTTCAAATGTGCTCCGTCAACTATAATAACTGGGAGCATGCAAGTAATAAATGAACGAATCTACAAAATAATATACACAAGAAATATAATCATTTAAATGTGAAAAGCATATAACTAGCAAAAATTAGTCAACAAAATTATATTGATTTACTAACCGCAACACCAATGGCGATAAACAACAACTCAAAATGTCCATCTCTATCTGTTTTGATATGAGTTACCGACCCAGGATTTTTCAGCTTTAAATTGTGACAATAAGCCGGCAGTTAGGTAAACGATGCTTCTGGCGACCCCCTCAACAATTCCAAGGCATAACATTTGGCTCTCAAAGCTTGAGAATAGGAGATACTAATATTGAATCGAGCATTCATGTCAGTCCTAATTTCATGTCCCTGATATATCCTGCCATTCAAAAACATTGACTCAGTCAGAAAACCACCCAACACATTTTTGTTTGCATGTCTATAGTGAGGAAAAACTTGGGTTCTTGAACATGTATGTTTATCAATAAAAGTCTAAACTTGAAACATTTCACAATCTTTTATTTTATTTGCAATCATACGCCACATACAGTTTTTGTCAATCCTATACTTTGTTTCGAAACGATATTTGCTTGATTTATTAACTTTTAGTTGATAGTCATCTTCCACACATTTCGTATACAAAGCTATCTTCAAGTGTTCCTTTGTATCAAAACAATCATCTTTTTTGATACGAATAACTTTTGTGTAACAATCAACTACTATATTTACCAACTCTTCTTCCGGTATCTGAAGTAATTCTGGCATATTCCAGTTATACTCTCGTGGCATTTTCTTCTTTTTATTTTCTTCGGGGACTTCTTCTTTTTCTTTTTCTTCTTCAGGGTTATATGAATTACATAATGGATGTTTAACATGTTCATTCACAGTTGTTACTTCCTCCTCATTATCATCAACATCATCTTCCTCGACAGTGGCTGTTTCATCATCAAAATTCGGGTATTGACCAATATCAAAATCATTACACGCAGGGTCTATTTCTTCTTCTGAAACATCTTCAAAATCCGAGTATTGACCAAGATCAAATTCTGGGTATTAACCAAGATCAAATTTCGAATACTGACTAGTACTCACATTTTTTTCTGTTGGGTCATCATCGTCTAACTGGTCAATACGAAAATCGGAATTTGGTGCTGAAAGTTGATTGGGATTTGGATTAGGGAAAGGTTGTGAGTTTTGAGATTGTGTTTGATATTGTGTTTGGTATTGGAAATGTGGTGAAACAAAATTTTCTTGGTGATAAAATTGTGGTAGAACTATGAAATTTTGAGGTTGATAACAACGTTGTACATTGTGAGCACCATAAACTGGGGTTGAAGAACTTAGTTGATTACTACCCGTTACTGACCCAACTTCACTACTTCTAGGTTCAACAACATATAATGTAACGTCATCTTGCGAAACACTAATGTAAGCAATGAATCGTTCAACATCTTCTGTAACACCCCCAACCCGTACCCGACTCGGATACGAGTCTGAGGTGTCACATTGACCAGTCAAAGTATATACTTTTATAAAAACCATAGAAAATTTAAAACTTTTTCTTAAAGTAATTCTTTTACATAAACATATTTAAAACCTCAACAGACTCCATCAGAGCGTACATATATAATGACTTAGTTACATGCCAAAATACTAAATTATATGACAAGACATACTTTACAAAATATTTCTGATCTGAACGTTGCGCAGAGGTATGCTGCTTTACGAATCCGAAGCTTGATCTTCTGACTTTTCACACCTACGTGTAAAACACTTACACGCTAAGTCATAGACTTAGTGAGACATGTAAAGGCACAATGTGACCTAACAAATACATGTAGTTGTCATATAATACATATCATAATTACATACTTATAGAACCAATCATATAATATGACTACAAAACACCACAATAAATGAATAATTACTATGATCATATCATACATAACCACATAGCATTTCATATAACCATTACCCATATGCACTTATTACCATTATTATCATATGATCCTAACTTATCACTTATACATGTCACATATCACATATACCATTTCCAGGGAAACACATATATCATTATATCAAATTATGTTTTCTTTTCAAAGCCCATGCACACTATTGAGAACTTAAGGTATGTGAGTACATAGAGGTTGTGCACTATACTGTCACTACAGCCCGTATAAATCCCACTAGGGGCACGTAGAATTTGTCCCGAAGGACCACGTAGATGTCTCGAAGGACCACATATAACACATATATCCCAAATGACCACTATATCCCGAAGGACCGTGTAGACCCTCGACTCTTGGCATGCCAACTATACCTATAGCTCTCATAATACATGACATGGGCATTATCTTTTACCTCATTACACATTCACATATTCATATCACATAGTTCTTTCACATAGCTCTTTATCACATTTCATATGATCACATAGTCACGTAGTTTACTTTCACGTATCATTTTCCATGAAATTCACATTATTCATCCTTTTCACACATGGTCACATCACATATACCTTTTTCTCATATGCATATAACACATTATTTCTTATCTTTTAACATATATTATATATGCATATAATCTTATGTCTTATTATCAATATCTAATATTTCTTATTATACTAACATATCATATAGCATTCTAATAGAAACACATATGAGTCATATTATTTTCATATATATTTTATCATATATTTCATGATCACATGACCTATTATCATAATACATGTATTTACATAGTTCACACATAAAAATGCATTCAACAATTAAACATATGTATTTACTCGTATATCATACATCTAACACCATATCACTACATATTTATGCTTTAATACTTATATCATATAATATCGGAATTGGACTCATCGCAAGTCTTAATTCCTTAACATAACGTACACTTACTATCATGTACTCACATGGTCTCAATGAACCCTCTTAAACTCTTGTTTCCGTTGCGTATCTTACTCTGTCGACCTATCCGAAC